ACATACACAATGCAAATTTTGCACTGTGGGTGCCGCTGTCGGCATCTTTGTGGCCAGCATCCCTAGATCAGCAGATCAAAAGGAGCTGGTTAAAAAAACCTTTGGCTGAACAGAGCTTGGAGACAATCAGCTGCAATCTCCGTTGAAGTATTCTGATAGCCGCTCATAAGCATTGATGGAGGAATCTGTTATATTTTCTTTGCTCAGCCCACAGGTTGAACAAAGAAAATATAACAGTGTATGGCCAGCTTTAATCTGCCAGATCATCACCTTAGGCAACCAATAAAAGGTACCCACAGACATGGGAGGGAAGTCAGCCATACAGACACGATCCAACTAGCATTTGGCACCTGTGACAGCTGGCTTGTCACAAACATGCACGCTTGGCTCTGCTGACCATGTTTAAAGGGTAATTCCATTTTCCCAGGTGAATTTGGGAAAATTAAATTGCTCCCTTCAATCTGGAACCCTCTTCCCTATGCTATACTTAATTTGGGCAAATGCTCCTTCTCCTCTGCTGATGTACTATCCGTACATGGCAGCAAGCCCGGCGCTCTGTATTTTGTACAGATAGTACACCAGCACCAGTGGAGGGAAAGGAGCATTCACCCAAAGGTAACTATAGCAGGAGGGGAGAGAGGGGGCCAGATTGGAGGGGTAATTCCATTTTCCATGTTCACTTAGCCGACTATAAACAAGTAGAATTTTGTTCCAAAAAATTTGCTTTTGGAACAATTGTTCGATTTTCCAATGATGGAAAAAAAAATGAGCTGGATGGAATTTCTTTCTCTCGAACAATCGATATTCTAACGGTAAATGTGGTTTTTGTTCAAAGCACTCAATTGGATTCCAAAATGGAATATTAAAAGGAGAACTATAGGGTAAGTGTTTTTCCCCATAGTTCTCCTAAGGGTCACGGGAGGACATAAACTAGCGTCCTCCCGTCATAACAAAGCTCAGTATACTGAGACGCCGCAGTATATCGCGAGCTACAGCTTGCGGTATACTGAGATGCCGCAGCCGGAACAGATCCCGACATTACTGTCGAGATCCACCCAGCTGCCTATCTAGAGGCAGAGCCAGCTGTACCGGCGCCCCCTCCCCCCGTCCGTTCCGCCAGTCAGCTCTGGAGGAATGGAGAGGGGAAGGGGGGGAATCGCTGCACGGAGCCGTGAGTTACAGTCACTGCTCTCTGCAGGGACAGGATTGAGGCGTGAGCAAGCGACAGTATGTGTTCGCTCACTTCCCGATCTATTGAGACGACGTGTGACAGTTTAATTGTCACACGTCGGCTCGAGCTATGAGGATGAGGGATTTTCAATCACCTCATAGTTCTCCTTCAAACGACATTTATCAATTCTTTGATAAATACCAAATGCTCTGATGAGATTTTACACATGAAAGTCCATTTGAATATCTACCAATGTATGGCCAGCATTATATTTCTAAGGAGAGGAGGTAAGTGGCACAAGCAGACACAAGCAACGCAGGCTTATCAGGAGGGGAACAGCTGCTACCAAGGTAAACAGCGACTGGCTAGTGAATGTCTACCTACCCAAATAAGCTTGGGATAATAACCCGAATTAGCAAAAAGCAACCCCTCTAGCATCTATGGGCACAGGTTAGTGTAAAGAGACCGGTTGCTTTGTGCAGCAGTCCTATAAAAGTTTCATGAATTGTCTTCAATACCCGGAATACTGGGCAATAACAGTTACTCTTGGCTAAAAATATTACACATATTTACATATAAATAATATAGTTAATGTGATCAAACAAAAGGGCGGCTTATTCATTCAGGTACATTGATAACAGTGCAATGTCTTATTTAAAGAGCCAGTAAATCTAAAGTTACTCATAACATTCACATATATACATTCACATAAATCTATGTAAACTTTCCCATATCTAAGAACATTAGATCATTTGTCATTCATATGTTGTTTCTGTTTATTTTATCATTCTATGTTATATTCCATTTGGGGCTAAATGAGGTTTAATAATGAGAGAGGTCTGTATGCTTCCATAAGAGTAAATGACAGGAGGGCAGCTCTGTCTTGGAAATCATAATCCCACATTAAAGCTAGACTCCTGGCTGTTGTTAAAGCCTAAAAATTGTGGCCCGTCTCTACAGGTAATGAAGAATTTAATGTTTGTTTTATCAAGGGGTTGATCTGAGTAAAACCTGCCTTACTGCACAGTCCTGTGGCAGCTGGCGCTCCGATCCGCTTCTGTCCCGGCCTGAAATGCGTGTGAGCACTGCTAGGTCATCACATACAACAAAGGACCGGAGGTGGTTGCTGGCCCTGCATTTTAAGTATCGAGTATGGTCACAGGGGCGATGATGAGACTGGTTGTTGGTCCTTTGTGGGACCAGTCGTCACAACCATAACAGGCATGTGGGACCACGGTATAGGGCAAGTTTTATTCTGTATTATATCATCCCCTTGACAAAACAAGTACTAAACCAAATTTATTTTTCAAGAAATAACAACTGCCCTGGATTAAACTTTAACCGCTTGCCGTCTGCCCATTGTGAAAAAAACCGACGGACGGCAAACTCACATTGGCGGGATAGCCGTAAATAGACGTTTTTTTTTGTCTGCTCGCACGTGCCCGGGCACAAAAAACTCGTCCATTGTAAACAGCCATTACCGGCTGTTTCACATACAAGCGATCGGCGGCTCTACAGCCATGTCTGAATGCGGAAGTGATGTGTAATAGATTACTTCCGCATTCACCGGTGCGTCCTCTGGCTGCTATAGCCATAGAGAAGAAGCTGATGAAGCAGACCTCTGCTTCATCAGCTTCTTTGGGGGTCCCCAGGTGACATTAGGGGTCTTAGAGATCCCTAATGTCTCCATAAAGAGGACCTGTCAGTGTGCCTTTGCTATTATATAGAGGGATTGTTATCTCACTATGCGATAGCAATAACATTAAAAGGAGAACTATGGGGTTAGGGCTTTTCCCCGTAGGCGTCCTCCCGTCACCCTAAGCTCAGTATACCGCGAGCTACAGCTCGCGGTATACTGAGACGCCACAGTATACCGCAAGCTACTGCTCGCGGTATACTGAGACGCCGCAGCTGAAGCGGATCCCGACAATTATGTCTGGATCCGCCCAGCTGCGTGAGTGACAGCTGGCTCTGCCTATCTAGAGGCAGAGCCAGCTGTACCCGCCCCCTCCCCGTCCGTTCCGCCAGTCAGCGCCGGAGGATCGGGAAAGGGGGGAATCCAGCCCTCCCCTGTCACGGCAGAGAGCTGTGACAGGATCGAGAGGTGAGCGAACGCCGGTATGTGTTTGCTCACTTCCCGATCTACTGAGCCGACCTGTGACAGTCTCATTGTCACAGGTCGGCTAGAACTATGAGGTGAGTGAAAAGCACTCGCCTCATAGTTCTCCTTTTAAGTGTAAAAAAAATAATAAAAGTCACATATAAAAAAAAAGTAAACCCCCCCACCACGTTTACGCACATATAAACGTTAACACGCGTTAGATGTGCGAAAAAGACGATTGTCATACGACATGTTACATATCGCCACAAACGTCAGAGTGAGAGGAATAATTTGCAGGCCACCATTTTTTTTACCCGACGTGACCACGTCTTTTATATTTTACCAAAAATTGGGTAATAATAAATGTTTTATAATTTAATATAGGGGAAACAGTTTTTTTTTTTAAATTATCGGTAATTTTTCCTTACTATAGTAAAAAATAGAAACCCCAGTGGTGATTAAATACCACCAAAAGAAAGCTCTATGTGTCCCCACAAAATGGTATAAAATTAATTTCAGTACAGCATTGCATGACAGAATAAATGTCAGTCAAAGTACCGCAGCGCTGAATACTGAAACATGGCCTGGACAGGAAGGGGGTGTAACACCGCGGACTTCAAGTGGTTAAACAGCTTTCTTCATTTTAAGAATACCCATCTCCATAAACTTCCCGGAAAGTTTACATATTTTTTCATGAATGTTATTTACAAGTCTTTTCTTGTAGCTTACATTTAACGGCCCTTTTAACATAATCAATTCAGTCCATTCACATTTAGGTGCAATTGCAAGCTAAAAAAATATATACTGTGCACAAGATAACCACGTATTAGTAAACAAAACATACTAAAATCAAAATGACAGATTTCATTATTTTGCTTCCATATGTTGTTTAAAACTGTTGTAGAAACAGATTATTTTAAAATGCAGATATAAGATATCTATCAATCAGTGTCTGAAAAATGTCCAAAGTAGATGATTCATTGTGCAAGGAGTCACATTAAAAGGGACACTTTTCCCGATCTTTAAAAAAAAAAATATATATATATATGTCTCATATATATATGAAATGCACGGACTGGGGGACACTTTTACAGGAAGTTCCCCTCAAAGTACAATCTTCATAGTCTCCGTCCACCCAACTAGGACAGGGATTGGCCTACCACATCTTCCTAGTGTTCCCAGGTCTGTCAATTTCGCTCTGGTATCCTGATAACTGATGGGCACTAGATCGATCTCTTTGGTAGTCGATAGTCTCACATAGATGCCAATGTAGTATCTGTGAATGGGCCTTACAAGAGGTCTATATATTATCTAGGTTCAAGGTGTACAGAAATATGTGGCATTTTGATCCTGCCAGACACAATGAAGCAAATGTTTAGAGAGCTGGGGACTGAAAGCTGGGTTCCTGATTTCCCATATTCCTGGGATTTGTTCAAGATATCAGCAGAGTGATAAAAGCTTCCGGTTTTCTGTACCCGTGAGCCCACCTTCAACCACAGCAGATACAGGGTGAAGTAAGCACGCAACAGTGAGGAAATATACATTTACTGTCTTTTTTTTTTTTTTAATAAGGTGTAAAGAGTCCTTTAAAAAAAAAAAGGATGCGGGAAAAATAGGAATAGGGGTTTACTCCTTGATCAA